TTAGGGGATCCTCTTGCCTCAGCCTCCCGAATAGCTGGGACTATAGACGCCCACCACAACGCCTGGTTATTTTTTTTGTTGCAGTTCGGCCAGGGCTGGGTTTGAACCCTCCACCCTCAGTATATGGGGCCGGCGCCCCACTCACTGAGCAACAGGCACCACCCATAAAATAAAGTCCTTTTAAATGAAAAAAAAATTTTTTTTGAGACAGTCTCACTATGTCACACTGGGTAGAGTGCCATGACGTCACAGCTCACAGCAACCTCAAACTCTTGGGCTGAAGTGATTCTCTTGCCTCAGCCTCCCAAGTAGCTGGGACTATAGGTACCTGCCATAATGCCCCGCTATCTTTTTTTTTTTTTTTTTTTTTTTTTGGTTGTAGTTGTCATTGGTGTTTGGCAGGCCCAGGCTGGATTCAAACCCACCAGCTCCAGTGTATGTGGTTGGTGCCCTAGCCACTGAGCTACAGGTGCTGAGCCTTAAAAGAAAAAAACTTTTTGAGACAAAGAGTCTCACTCTGTTGCCCAGGCAAGAGTGCCATAGCATCAGTCTAGCTCTTAGCAACCTCAAACTCCTAGCTTCAAGTGATCATCTTGCCTCAGCCTCCTGAGTAGCTATAACTATAAGTGCCACCAAAATGCCAGGCTAATGTTTTTGTTTTTAGTAGAGACAGGGTCTTACTCTTGCTCAGGCTGGTCTAGAATTCCTGTGCTCAAGGGATCCTCCTGCCTTGGCCTCCCAGAGTGCTAGGATTACAGGCCTAAGCCACATGGCCCAGCTCCTTCAAGGAAAATTTAAATAAAATTACCCCTATAATGCTGCTTTCAATACCATGCCCAGGTATATGATAAGGTTAATTTTATCAGTTTGATTTCTAATTATTCCAAAGAGAAAAACTGTGAGATGATGAAGGGTGTTTGGGTGGAGGGGAAATGAAGGCAGAAGATTAAAATGAAGAAAAAGATTGAGATTTGAGACTAATCATTTTTTTACTTTTGTTTATTTTTTTTTGAGACAGAGTCTTACTCTGTCACCCTGTGTAGAATGCTGTAGCGTCATAGCACACAGCAACCTCAAACTCTTGAGCTCAAGAGATACCCTTGCCTTGGCCTCGCCAGTAGCCAAGACTAGACTAGAGGTGTCCACCACAACATCTCACTGTTTTTTGCTATTTGTAGTAGAGGGGGGTCTTGCTCTTGCTCAGGCTGGTCTCAAACCCCAGAGCTCAAGCAATCCACCAGTCTCATCCTCCCAGAGTGCTAGCATTACAGGCATGAGTCACCTGGCCATTTTCTTTTTCATATTTTAAACGTATACATTCTCCATATAATATCCTTCTATCGGAGATTTTTTAAAGGTTCTTTAAAAATCAGTTGTAAATTACCTTTTGCTTTTATAATGCAGATTTTTGTCTCACTATAATAATCTACAATAAAAAACAATTAACACTGTAAAAAAGAAATTCTGTACTATATGGTACAGAAATTGAAGCCAGAGAAACCAGTAAGAGAACCAAAGGGAATCCTGCATTTGTCCTCTACATGCTGCAATACTGCAGAAGACTAGAACTTGGTAGTATCTCACTTGAAAAAGACCAAGAGAACCAGTACTGATGTCGGGTATAAAAGTACTATAATAATAATATATTTTTGTTTCAGAGTTGTTTAGAATCTTAGTTTTGTTTTATTTTTAAGTAAATAAATGTAATATGTTTGTTAAATATTTACTCTTATCACTATAAAATAAAACAAAACACTTTTACATTCATAAATGTACAAGGGTATGTGTCATTTAATTAAACTAAAAGTCTACTAAATGCAGTAAGAGTAAATCAAAAATAACCATTAAAGAAATATAAAAATCTATTTTTTTATTTTATTAGCATTGAAATGCTATTTACATAATGAAGACCTAAAGATAACAAACAGCCCAACTACTAGCCTCAGACAACTGACCATTCCAATAGGATTTTAATGTATACATTATCAATTTCTGGGCTTGGTTTTAAAGTATATGTAAATAGAAATAAAATAACATACCTTACTGATTACAGTTTATAAATGTAAATAAAGTGCCAAAGACCACAAAATAACTGCTTCATATTCAAAGGCACAAGTTCAATTTAGCAGATCATTTGGACTCACTGCATTACACACATATATTGCAGAAGACAATGGTTAAGTGACCTTGGGATACTACTCTCCAGATGTCTGAAGGGTCCACTTATTCATTGAAATTAGCTTTATTTTTTAAAAAAAAAATTAAAAAACAAAGAAATTGGCTCAGCGCCCATAGCACAGTGGTCACGGCACCGGCCACATGCACCAAGGGTAGAGGGTTCAAACCCTGCCTGGGGCCAGCTAAACAACAACAACAAAAAACAAAAAAAAAATTGTCAGATGTTGTAGCAGGTGCCTGTAGTCCCAGCTACTTGGGAGGCGGAGGCAAGAGAATTAGAGGCTGCCATGAGCTGTAATGCCAGCACATTCTACCAAAAGCGACATAATGAAACTCTGTCTCAAAAAAAAAAAAAAAAAACAAAGACATTGTCTCTACTTATGATAAATACCTAGCATACCACACAGCTACTGTCTTTGCCCACATAAGAGTCTACTTGAAGTTTCTCTTTCTTTTCCATTTTAGGACTACAGATATTATAAAGAAAACAATTCAGAACATGCAGCATGCACAAAGGGTGGAGAATACACACACACCTTCCCTTCTGATGTACTTCACAAGAAGGTTAAGAAAATACTATCACACACTCTTCAGTTTGGGGGCACATTTTCAGAGATTTTAAATGAGAAATTCAGTAACTCTTACGCATTTCCTTTCCATTATTTCAGATCATGAAAAGACTTTTCAAACTAATTTATAATACATAGTATATGCACTCCACAAGTAATCATATATAGATATATGTTCACATGATTCCTCTACTCTTTTAATTAAAAAATTATGTTTCTCCTGGTCATAAAAACCTGGTTTTAGGTGTTTTAAAAGTTCAAACAGCTATTAAGCTATACTTTGCTTTGGCACTAGCTCCCCCTCCAGACCAATGTACTAATACAATTGCATTTTTGAAAAATAAACAAGTAACAAGTTTTTCCACCCTCTATCAAATTTCAAAATTTACCACTTTTAAGGAGAATCCAATTTCATAAACATGACTGGTTAGAATTTATAACAAAAATTGCACAATGTATCCAGAATGACTTTTTTAACTGTATACATCTTAAATAGAACTGATTTTAAAAATAAATTCAAGAACATCTGTAAAAAACAATCTACACAGTGCAAACTTCTTGGAAATTTTGAATCCCTACCTTAAATCATAAAGGTTAACTCACTACTTGATAAAGTAGAGTTCATGTTAACTCACTACTTGATAAAAGATGTATTTTTCTAAGTTTCTGTCATCCAGGCAAGTCTCATTCCTGCTGTTCAGCTCTTCAACTTAAACAGAATTCTCAGATTACAAAGCAGCAAAAGGAAAATCTATGCCTTCAAACTACTCTCCTATGTTCCTTATAGCTTATTCATTTCTAACACACTGCATTTTTACATACGAAGCCAGTAAAATCACAATTTCAAAGGCCTAAATTCCCATCTTCTCTTTATACTGTAGTGTTAATAAACCAAATAATTAAGACTTTCTATACATATCATATATTTCACAAGGATAGCAATGTACAGGGCTTTATTATTTGGCATAGAATTTTAGGTTATTCTAAGTTATTTTAAAGAAGGGGGACTAAAACTTAATCCATTATTTCAGTATAGCTCTGTAGTACATAAATAATAATTCCTTAAAATATTTCTTAAAATGCTTTCCATATGAGGCACTTTTTTTAAAGAATTGTGCATAAAACATGAATGTAAATTTAATCAAGAAAATAAATATGCACTTAAACCCAGGAATAATAAGGAAAAAAAAACTATAATGAAACTTGCCTATGGTTTCTATAGAGCCAAGTCAAAGTCAAGTCAGTTACTTGTGACTAGTTTAACTCTAGGCTGATTAAAAAAAAATAACTTGTGTTGCAGTATTTTGTTCAGCAAAATGATGAGATTTGGGGTTTTCTACTGTAGAGCCTGGCTTTTCTTGAGTTGGTTTAAATAAACTGCAAATTAATTCAAACATACAAAGCAGAAAACACCACCTATCCCTGCCTTTATCCAAGGCCCCTATCTAAAGAATAATGTACAACAAAATGCCAAAAGCTCGCCAAGGATAAACCTTAGCCGTGACACTGTCATTTAACTTAAACCCACAGCGTCTCTAAAGATTGCAATCCTCACAGTGCTAGAACAGGTGCTGCACCCGATAACCCGCTCACTCCTGCAGGACGAACCTCCTTGAACTAATAAATTCAGCCCTCCCAGATAAGTTTAGATACTCAAAAGCCGCCAGCTCATCATATGTGCATCAAAAGGGGTTACAGCGGCGCTCAAGCCTTTAACTGCCCTGCACTGGCCCCTCGCCGGGAACGGCTCTTTGCGCCGGTCCACTCCCTAATTTCTAGTCCGAGGACCACTCATAGAAACCCCACAACGCACAGGCATCCTCTTCCCAACAGTCCATGACTACAGGGACAGAGCGGCTGGCCAAAGGGGAGGTAGGTGTAGAGGGGAGATGAGGGACACCTCCCACCCCCGCCCCCATCCCTTCTCGCCCAGGCTTCGGCCCCTGCCCTGAGCAAGGATGCGCGACGTCCAGGGCAGCGGCGACGCCGCTCACTTCCCAGCTGGGGAAGCGGGCGTCCCTCAGCCCTGCCCGCGCCCCCGGGGCTGCGCCAAGGCACCCGCCGGAGCGTCCCAGGGGCTCCCTCCCCACTTTCCAGAGAGCTGCTGATGAGCAGCAGCAGTTGCACCAACAGGCCCGGGGGTCGCCCGGGAAGAAGAGCAGCGACAGCCTGGGAGCCTCCACAGATCCCGCGCGCTTGCCCAGCCCAAGACCCCGAGGCGCTCCGGGCCCGGTTCCCAAAACGCCCCCTTACCGGAGGCGGGAGCAGAGGCGGTCTCCGCCGTCCGCCGTCGCCGCCACAGCCCTCAGCGGCAGCTGCCCCACGCCGGGGAAGTGGGAGGGGTGGCTGGGTGGAGGATGCTACTCCCGACTGAAAGGAGAGGAAGAAACGGAAACAGGAACCGCAGCCGCCGCTTAACGGAGCCTTCGGCGCCACTGACTGAGCGAGAGCGCGAGGCGGCGCGAGCCGGGCAGTAGCTGACAGCGCGAGACCGAGCGCGAGCCGGGTCCAGGGCGCGCGACCCCGAGCAGCGCCGGCCCCATTCCGCGGAGAGAGGAAGGGGACGGGTTGGCTGGGGGCCGGGCGGGGGCGGGGGGAGTGGGCCTGGAGCTGAGGGAAGCGGCCACTCGGGTCAGCCGGTGATAAGGCGCGCACGCGCCGGAGCGGCTCTGACAACGAGCGCAGGCGGGGAAGCCGCGGCCAGCGTGAGCGGGCACGCGCCCCTCCGCGTTCCAGGCTTCTGGGAGACGGCGCGCATGCGCCGGCCACAGCCACCTACGGCGACCCTGGCAAGTGCCAGGACTTCTCCCCGCCCCCTTCTTCGCTGCGCGGGCGGGGAACGTAGCTGCAGCGTCTAGCCGGCAGAGCCTCGGGCCACAGCGGGACAGCAGAATTCCAGCAGGGCAGAGGCTGCACGCGGGCACCGGCTAGCACGGAGGCTGCCCTCGGCCGCCTGAAGGCCGGAGGCTGAGGGGGGCGCGAGCGGAGTCCGCTCCCACTGCCGGGAGAGCCAACTCAGGAGCAGGCCATATTCTCTGGAGTGCCGGGGAACAGACAGCCCCAAGCCAGTTCAGCCCGCGGCCTGCGGAGCACCCTCGCCGGGGATCTGAAGCAGGCTCCTAAGAGGAAGGGTGGTCGCTGCAGCTGCTGCTTGGCCCCTGCAGCCCGCGCCTGGACGCTCGGCTAAGCTTGCAGCGCGATCATACAATGGCATCGCTCCTATCGGCGATGTCGCGCCCGGTTTTATCCTGTGAGAACTGTTATTGCACATTCTCCCGCAGAGAAAGAACCCCCCACGAGGGCCTGCCTTCGCTGCACGGCCTCTCCCGACCTGCGGCTGCGACAGCCCCTCAGAGGCGGAAGTTTATTCAGTACGGGAAAGAGAACAGCATGAGGCTTTTCCCTAAGATGCTTCCTACCAGCTCGGACTCGGGAAATTCCTGGCGCCCGCGATGCAGAGAGTGGGCCGAAGAGCTACCTCGGACCCGCCCAGACCACGAGCTGAGCCGGAGGACCCAGCGCGCCGCCCGGGAACACAAAGTAGTCGCGGCGCTGAGGGGGTGCCGCAGAGGCCAATCAGAGCCGCGAGCCGTGTGAGTGGAGTGCGAGCCGACCAATCAGAGGCCCGCGAAAGAAGCTTCCCTTCCCTTCCCTTCCCAAACTCTTCCCTGTAGCCTCCGGACCCAGGTCCCAAGCCTGGGGCGCAGTACAGTGGAAAAGCGAAATGGTGCCCAAAAGACAAGTTTTCTTTTCCAGACTTGAATGTTTCTAAGTAAATACCAGGGGTACTTTTATCCCAGAGCAAATAACGGCGGCCTCTTAGATGCTGAGTTTTATAAGAATCACAGGAAAAAGATAAGAGGCAGTGGCCTGCCAAGACTGCAGTCTGCCTAACAACTAAATAAATAAATTAACAGTATTTACTGAGACTGTCTCATAGGCCAGGAACTATATGTATTACAGAGATACAAACAGGGTGCTGCTGATTCAAAGAAAAAATCAGTCCTCAAGTAGGTTCCAAGGGAGGCTTGGCTGGACCTTATATGCCTCTGGTATTTATTTAATAGTCAGCTGTTTAAACAAAAAGCATGCTATGAAGTGCTGTACTTTACAGTCCTTTTTAAGATTGTTATTTTGGGAGGAAACCAGGATGACTTATCCAAGGTCACACAAAAAGTATCCTGGCAGAGCCAGAATCACATTCTAGCTCAGAAAGTTTGGATGTCATCATTCAATAAAATCATTTACAATCATCTGTTAAATGCATGAGATTTTTGCACTAAGCTTGCAAACAGTAAAATTCTACTTTGAGAGTTACCCTTTGATTGCTGGAAATAAATTTTAACTGTATGCTCAATTTGAACAGAATTTTAAGTGTAAAATGGACTAAAGGCCGAAAGTATCAGTCATACTTGAGGTAATTTTGTTAAATCACAGGTACTGTGGATAGCATTTTTCAAGATATTTCAACAAGCATGTGTAACTTTTTTTTTAAGAAAGAAGATACCTGTTTTTGGTTAGTTAACAATTATAGTTTACATTTCATAGTACCTCAATATCTTCAAGTTCAAAGCTTTACTTTACATTTGCCTCAAAATGTCCAGATTTTTGTTTGTTTATTTGAGACACTCACTCAGTTACCCTTAGTGGAATACCATGGTATAGTATCTTACAGCAACCTCAAACCCTTCGGGCTCAAGCTATCCTCTTGCCTCATCCCCCAGAGCAGCTGGTACTACAGGCACCCACCACAACATGACCAGCTATTTTTCAGAGACCAGGGCTAGCTTTTGCTCAGGCTGCTCTGAGCTCAGGCAGTCCACCCACCTAGGTCTCCCAAGTTCTGGAATTACAGGTGTGAGCCACTGCACCTGGCAAAATGTTCAGATTATTCTCTCATCTTCAGTTTTCCCTTCCAAAAACTCAGGAATTAAAATACTATCTTCCTTCCCTCCATTCAGTGAAAAAAAAAAAAAGGACAAAACAAAACTGTCTAGGAATGCTTGTCCAGGATTTAGTACTTTTTTATAGGACAGTATAATATACTACATATTAAAATAGCAAATAACTTTGACATCTCTGGAATACACTCAGAAACTAGTTCTTCAGCTATTTTGATCTCTGCTAAGTCAATATGCTTCTCAGTCTATGCTAGAACACTATTATCAAGGTCCATTCCCATCTATGTCATGCTTGGGATTTAGCTGCCATCTCACAACTGGAAGTTTCAAACAACTAACATGTGAGGACAAATCTTTACACATTAAGTTCCAAGCCAGTTAAAAATTTCCAGAAAATTCACTTGTAATGGGGGTGCTTACCCTGACTCTTCTCCATGAGGACAACAGCCCCAGAGAGGAAAATGTGTAAAATCCTGCCTTTGTCTTGCCAGTTAAAATTGTGAGACAGAGAGTATTCCCAAACAGTTCTAAACATCATTGGCCACCACAAAGCATTTCTGTCAAAAATGTTTTCTCCACAAGCTCCAGCCTCTTACCCTGCTTCTGTGCTCTTTTCACTCTTCTCACCCCAACTGCTTGCCTCTGCTCTTCTCATTCTCATTCCCAGTCCGTGATACTTCCTTACAAGTATAAGTGCTCCACCTCTTCCTCCACCCCACCCCACCCTAACCCAACTAGACTTTGGGCTGGTTTTTGCTTATCTCGAAAGTTATAAGCAAGTTCTTCTCAACAAAAGATTGTACAGAATACTCTCAATGAACTATTATACTAAGAACTAGCGGCTCGGCACCTATAGCTCAACCGGCTAAGGCGCCAGCCACGTACACCTAAGGTGGCGGGTTCGAATCCCCAGCCCGGACCGCCAAACAACAATGACGGCTGCA